AAGGGAAAATCAATGACCCCCCGGGGCGGGGCCAATTTTGACCCCAGGGCTTTTATTTGAACAAACTTGGTAGACACTCATTAGAAGATGTTTCATGCCAAATATCTAAGCTCTAGCTTTTAGGGTTGTTTAAAAGAAGATATTTAAAGATTTTTCTTTCGGTTGCCATGGCAACCAGAGTTCTGCATGGAATTAAATTCTCTGAACAATTTTTAAAGGTGACCACCAAAGGAACATTCCTGTGAAGTTTGGATGAAATTGGCTCAGTGGTTTATGAGGAGATGTCATTTAAAGCAAAAGTTTACGGACGGACGACGGACGGACGCCGGACGAAAAGCGATCACAAAAGCTCACCCTGTCACTTTGTGACAGGTGAGCTAAAAATAAAAATTATTAAAGGGCCATAACTCTGACAAAAATCATTGAACCTGAAAATGCTGAAAATATGCACAACAAGACTTGGTACTGATCATTCCTGTAAAGTTTGGATAAAATTGCACCAGTAGTTTAAGAGAAGTAGTCCGGACAAGTTTTGTGACAGACAGATGGACAGACAGACAGACGACGGAGAAGTGATCCCTATATGTCGCCACTACTCCGTAGAGGCGACACAAAAAAATAATAGAAATGGATGCCGAGTCAATATCAACTTCTGTTTGGTTCAAAATATCATTTTCCAGAAATGAATTGTGAGGCCCAAAGTGTGCAGGTGACTGTTCTAAGGGTATTGAAATCATAAAATGTGCAGTAAAATGTGCGCAGCTGCTGATGGGTTTACTAAATATGATCATACAGTGAAATGTATTGTAGGGCAGTAGGGCTGTCATTGAATATCGCAATATCAATAAGCTAAGACGGTTTTATTTATGTTAGTGAATATATCTTAATTTTTGCCTTAATAAGAAGTCATTTTTTCTAGTTTTCTTGGCTTATATAAACTTTAAACAAAAATTTCCAAAAAATATTTAAATGTTTTTCATTCTATCTACTGTCAAAGTCAATATATCGTCGATATTTGTCTCACGATATATCGATACAAAATTTTCCATCAATGACAGCCCTTAAAATTGTATTGGATCTATAATTTTTCCAAGAGCTAGCTTTCAGGCTTTGCCTTATTCATATCAATAGTATGAAATTAGGCAAAGCCTATGAACGGGAGTTGTTTGTTCTAAAGGTGTCATTCGTCATTTCATGCACTACTTCCGTTTTCACTTGGAACACTCAACGATTATTATGAGTCTGAAAAGTTGACATTTGTTCCGTTATCGGAATACCCTGCCTATTATCGTTGAGTAACATTGTAAATGGCCGCGGCCAACTAGAACTGACACTGAAAATTTCATTGATAGGTATACACATGGAGCTAAATATAAGATGGAGAAGAGACTGTGACATCACACAGTTAAAATCTGTATCGGCGGAATTGTGTTCCCGCAAGTTATCATTTGTCGCAAGATTTTGCGGTATTTGATGCATTCTGGGTAAAAATAGCCAAAATACCGCCATATTGAATTCCCTGAGGTACATCAACAAAAAAGACTAAACATTTTTTACTTATATAAGAAGCAATGAATCTGGAAGCAATAGTTATTTATTCTAAAACATACAAAACACACTTTTCCACACAAATATTTCTCCGCGGCAAAGTAAGCAATAATTCACGGATATCGCCGAAGTTTAACGATAGCGTGAAAATCGGAGAATAGTGGGATTATCACCGGAGCGCGCAAAGGATTGTGGTCTGAATCTGACTCTCGTCTATTTTCGGAGTTTCCTATATCAGTTGTTTATATATCTGTGGTTTAGAATTCTATATATTTTTTATTTTTTTAAATTTCATTTTCTTGTAAATATACATGTGTAGTCTACAGCCGGGCAAGCCAAAATGTTAAAAGAATAGACAAATGTTTTTGATGATCACCATTAATTGATTACATTTAAAGTTTTTTTATCACCATTACTGACAGGGGCGGATACAGAACATGGTTTCCTGGGGGGGCTGACGTATGGGTGGAGGAATTTGACAAAAATAATGCAACAGGCGAAAATTGAAGATTGAGCCAGCATCATGTTCATTTAACAAAATTGTAATTGATGTGTTTATAGCTCATCTTATGATTGGCAATGTACTTTTCTTATATATGAGTATACTAATGTTTTTCTGTAAATATTTGGATGATATGGAATTAAGAAAAATATATGTAATTGGGGTGGGCCTGGGAGGGGTGTCCCCTCCCATAGACCGAGAAAATTTTGAAATATGAGGTTGAGAATGGTGTTATTTCCTTGACTTTCTAGTGCTGTTTATGGTACCTTTTAAACACTGTATTTTGAAGAGGTTAGTGTTTGCAGGGTCTTTCAAAAAGAATTCCCCTGGTGTTTAGTAGTGAGCATTTACAAAATAACAGCACACTAACCAATGTATGCACAACTGTTTATAAAAATAAATCCAAACACTGGATCAATTTACTCATCTGAATAATAGACGATTTTCCAAAGTAAAGTGATATTAAAATACTGCCTTCCTATTGTACAAAAAAATTTCAAACACTAGTATTCAATTAAAATGTTTTCCATCAATGAATCCATTTTAGATACTAAAGAGGTTAGTACAATTTAAATTTTATTTAAAAATATAACTGCCATAAAAAGTTATTAAAAGCATATAACCAATTATTTCATCTTAATAAAAATCTTAGTAAAACTGGTAAATGTATCTTTGGGCAGAGCTGGGGGGGGGGGGCTGCAGCCCTGAAGCCCGGGCCTGAATCCGCCACTGACTGAAATTATGTAACACACAAAATAAAAATGGGAGGGGGGTGTTTGTGTGAAGTGTCTCAATCAAATCAAGTGTCTCCAAAAAACTAGGTGAAGTGTCTGTCGGATGAACTGTCTGTAGTTTGTAAATCAAATTTTATATATTTGGCTCAAATAAACAAAACATTAATCTCCACTGAACAACGGGGAGGGAACAGTAGGATAGCAGTTATATACACACTTTACTGGTTCATTACAAAATCTGTTTATGAATGAACAAACTTCAAGTATTATACTGACTCACAGGGTTCCCGCTGTCGCTCGCCAATGGCGCCAAATGCGACAATATATTAATTCTGGCGCATAAAATCTTTAATTGGCGAATTTAACTGGCACCAACGTAAGATAAAAGCATCCGACAACTAGTACACTTAAATGTCATAAGCGGCCGCGTCAATTACATAAGCGGCCCAAATGTGAAAGTATGTCATCAATTGTGTGACACTTCGGGAACATGTGAAGATGAAAGTGTCAATGTGTTAAATGGAACAATTTACGTCTTTCATTCTCTGACATGACTGTGTGGTCAACAAGTGTTAGTAACGAACAGAGAAGTGAAAGATTTCGTCCGTGATGTTGACAAACATTGAACTTTCGGTAAGTTGACTCGTCAACTGATTAAAAATAATTACAGTTTGAATATTAAATCGGATGAAAATTAAAAGAATAATTTCACCAATGATTGTTCTAAAGTCACAGTACTGCAATGTAAAGTGCTGAAGTGTCTATTCACATGCAAACCCTATTAAAATAAACAATATTTTTCATTGTTAAAAATACTTAGTATCTATTTCATTTTTTGTTCTGCTTGATTTTTAGATGAAGTCAATTTATAGTAATGTTGCTTTTTTTTTATTTTGTATCTGTAGATCACCAGATTGTCGGGTAGAGGCTGGGAAAGATCTTGGCTCAGTCCAGCCTGTGAGAAGAACTGCTATACTGGCAAAATGGTGGAAAACAGGACCTCCCATGACTAACTTAACATGATGTTTTTGATTACATTTATGCTGTCATGTGTATTTATTTAAATGGAATTTGAAAACCACATAATAGTGTGTCTATATTTTAGATAATAGCGAGCTCGACGAGCTGGCCCGAAGGGCCTGCTCGCAAAGCGAGCTTTACGGTAACGCGAGTACCTGTTAAGTGATGGTTTTGAAAACTTTCGTTCGAAGTACCGAATTGGACACATCGCAACCTTTCGAATTTAAAGATAACGATAAAAACTGAGGAATTCTGACTGAAAACGGATGTGTAGACTGGTCACCCGCGCACGTCTATGGAAACCATAATTGGACAGGAAACCAGAATAACGGAAGCTGTCGATAAAATATCAAACGGAAAATGTAAAATGAAAATTGAAGGCGCCATTTTGTTAGAAAAATCTGATAAATTAAAACAATTTTTTTGTCGAATTTTGTTGTGAAAACTATCTAGAATGAAAAAATGGTCTAACTAAGAAAATGAATCCGAACACCAATATCTTTTATTCAGTCGTTAACGCTGTACAGACGTTTAAAGTATTGTTTACGTGACGTCACAATGTAGCGCCAAACAGCACGTGCAAAACAAACAAATCAAGTACGCTATTTTAATGTCGCAAACGTTTTAAGTTTTTACATTAATTTCACTTTAACTAATCTTTATTTCGCTTGAAAAAATAAAGAGTGAAATAAAATAAACAAAGTTTTATCAACGTTTTCAAAACTTGTTATTCATTTCACGACAGGGGCGGAGCCATATTTAACACAGTACATGTGACGCCACACGCACTTGTTACTGCATTTGAAATAAAAATTATTTCATACTATTTCACGTAAAAAGTACATCGAGCTCGCTTTGAGGCTTTGCCTTTTTCATATTAAACATGTGCAGCTGTAATAAAATGAAATATTATAAATATGTGTTTGTAATCATAATGATATATAACTGCTAGCATATCTTAGCAAAGATAGGCATGTCTCCCTTGCAGAATTATTGGCTCCAACTTAGGAGCAATTGGCTCCAACTTTTTCTGATTGGCGAATTTGGTGGTGCAAACTAATTTTGACCTAGAGGGCACCCTAACTCACAAAAAAGTAGATATAACATCAATTGACATGTTGACTAACACTGACTAAGTGACTTATCAAAATAAAATAAGTGTTTTAGCAATAAAAAAGATGTAATCATTTAAATACCATTAATTTCTTTATCTGTTTCGTTTATGCTTCATTCAGTTTATGTTGTTTACCTAATAATATACATATAAAACATGAAATAAGTGTTTTTCCAGGTTAAATTTTACTTTCCTAACTTTCCCGGAAGTAAATAAATTTACGGAAGTAATTCACACGCATGCCCGTGTTACATTTAAGGTATCAGTACACTAAATCTTGATATAGGATGTGTGATACTTAAGATACCAGATGTTCTAAGTCGGTTAAGAATACAAACATTAGAGACATAGATAACAGAGATAAGCAGCTCTTATAATACTCCAATGAAATATCACTCATGCCTATCAAAAATTAAAAATTAGGCATTTTGTAGCAGATAAAACTTAATGGATGTACATTTGATCCTTTAATATTATATACCATTTGAAAGGTAAATCTTTTATCTATTGCTGCATGTTAAAAATATTGGTAACTTTCCATGCCTTTCACTTAGAAAAACATGGCAAGAACATACCCACTGAGCCAGTACTTTGTCATATGAATAGTTTTGTAACAAAAATTATTATAGTAGTTCTCTTTAAAAAATGATGTACCATTTATTTACATGGGAACTGTAAATATTTTTACCTGTAGCCATAGACAATTATGCATAAGCTGTCAGAAAATGTACTATTTTACTGATTTTGATATCTGGTTAATAAGTTTTACTTGCTACAAGTTTTAAGTTTAGCAGGCACGCGTGATATTTTAACTGGCTAGGAAGTTGCCCATCTCTGTTATCTATGTCTCGGGAAACATTAACTAATAAGCTAAATACTGACATTAACAGAGACGTAAACTATATTTACTAACATGTAACAAGTCTGAGAAGTAAATAAATTTAATTTAGTGTAAGTAGGTTTATAAAAGTATAAAAGTATTAAGATTTAAGAATATATATAATAGAATAAGATGGCGATAAAAATAAAATATAGTGACATGTACAGTACATATTGTAAGGGACTAACAGCTCAAAATGTATTAAAATACTATAGCATTAAATTAGGTGACAATTTAATTATAGTATACTCAACATCACTAATTCTGCGTCATCATTTATTTCACGATAATGGCATATTTTCATGTCACTGGTCAGTGTTAAAATTTGTCAGAATTGACATATTTTATTCATAAACCTAAACAACAAAGTATTTGTGCAAAATAGTTTACATATCTAGATTTTTGCGTAAAATAGAACAACATTTAATGTTCTTGTTTGTTGAAAAAGTAAACTTTGAGTTACAAAATAAAGATAGTTTAATATTGAAAAGTAAACAAAATAACATTTAGAAATTTCAACTGAAATATGAAAAAACTGAAATGTAACATCATTACCGCGATTTAATGACACACTTGTTATGCAACGTTGCAGTTTTATCAACGTTGAAGTGTCAAAGTCATACACGTTGAAAATGTACTATACTTCATTGTTAAAATGTTCATAATCATTCAGATTTTGAAAGTGATGTGCTGGTGAATGCATTTGTCAACAGACAACTACTGTTATGAAGTTTTTATGCATAAAATTCAAAATGAAATACTTAATCAAAGTTAAATATATCTTAGTTTAGATGATGATTATATACCAATATATCGGACTAATGGGTGGCCTTTTGTGTTGCTTTGAAAAAGAAGAAAAACATATTTTAAAGAGAAATATTACATATTCGAATACGAGTACATAACAAATTGGAACAGAGTAAAAACAACAACAACAACAACAAACAAAACGGTGTGTTCCGTATCATTAAAAAAAGCAGCGTGTTCCATACTGTCTTACCATACCATTACCAAAATATGATAAAACAACATTTCATTAGGTCGATACATTTGGTATAGTAAATCTTTAATAATTGCTACTACAAATGTATACATATATTCCTATCAAACAGTAAAGAACAGGATTTGCTAGAAATCGCTTGTTAATATCATCAGGTGTGTACTGTATCCCCCATGAATAAATGACTGTACTCAAATTAATGTTGTAAAACATTCAAGAGCTTGCACAAGATTGTTATACCGTGGGAAGCTTTAACAATTATGAGTACTCTGTCAAAATTGGTTTTCTAACAGCAAGGATATTGATAAAGAATACCTAGCTGAATCGCGGGAGAAAACAACAACAACAAAAACAACAATAAGAACAATAAAAAACGCGCATGTTCCATGTCTTGTATCACCACATTGTATTTGACTTGCGCGATGCCTATGTGCCTATGTGTATATCACAAAACCCATTTCTTTATTTTATACTGGAGATGACAAATATTTATTACATCATCGTGTAGATTTGAATCTTAACATTTTTATATTAATTATATAAATATAACTTGCCATGTTCAATTGATATCCCTACATACTGAACTCAATCTCCCTTATTTAGTTCTTTTTTTATTTAATTTTTTCTTCTTCTTTCACCTTGTGCATATTTCCCCAACTGCTTTACTATCATTCAATTTGGTTTGTAACTGTCTTATTATTATTAGATAATTCCATATATCAGAGAAGAAACGTTTGCTGATGTTGTAAGAACTCGTGGTTCAACCATTTTGCTACTTTTGTGTTTATATTATGATAATATAATGTTATAAATTTGTACAAAGGAGCAATAAAATATGTTTAAATAAAAAAAATACTGGAGAGGAAGATTTAACAAAAATTGAAAAATCATTTTTTACGAGAAGGTATGTCACTTTTAACCCGCTCGAGCTATTTTTTTACCCGAGAAATGAGTCAAAATTACACAACAGTATTTCCAGTCAATGGACAGTAAATTTACAGCAATTTTTGACATATCAATATATCAGTCAAATTCATAAATCAGTAAATTGTGGACATCTGTCGTCAATCCATCATTCTGTCATTAGTGGAACCAGTAAAACGGTGTGGTCATGTACGTCTAGTTCCAGATCGGGTAGGCATATTTATTATATCACTAGATGACTCAATTTTTATATGTTGTTCAACAAATAAATTCTTTACCAAGTAAACTTGTACTGCAACATCTTTCTAGAATGTTTTATCATAACCCTAAGGATATTTGACCCTAATTACGTAAAGGTAATTCGCACTATATTAGAGTATGTATTGCCATGAATAATAAAGTCTTTGTATTATTCATGTATATTTATGTAAAGCTAACAGTAGGGAAAACTGCTATTCGTAATAAATTATACAGGAATAATGAAATAACGATGTAATATACAATAAATATTTCTATATAATTGTGTTGAATCATTAGCAGAAATACACGCGTCTATGGCATTCGGTTACTATTATAAATAAAACCTAATTGGATAGGTTACTGGCTATTCAACAGTATATAAAACTCCTTAACTTAAGCCTATACGTTCATATTTTTGTAGCTTTCCGCCACTTTAAGATGCGTTATAACATGAAAAATCCGGCAAATCACGTGGAACCTACTGAAGTTGTATTTCAAATTGTCAATATTAGTGGAACTAGATTTAAAATATTTAACACAGTATGGTTAAACATAAGAAATAAAGTGCCGGTTAAATTTAGAAATAATTTGCATGCATTGGAAGGTGAAGTGTTTGTTGCACGAGATTCTCGTGTATTTCAAGCAATATTGTACGAGCACTTAGGAGGAGAGCTACATATTCCGAGTGATATGTGTCCATCAATTTTTCGTAAAGAGCTAAACTTCTGGGGCATTGAGGAAACAGATTTAGCAAAGTGTTGCTTCGTGAAGTACATGACATATTTTGATGACCAAGATGCATTGAAGGTACCCATAAATTAGCATTTTACATCTGATCTAAGTGATTTTAATTTTGATACCAGTTTTAAACATGATTTGCATTTAAGTGCAGCGGTGGCCTAGTGGTTAAATTGTCTGCCTCTCAACCCATGGATTATGGGTTCGAGCCCTTATCGGGTCACTGCCAATTTTCTTCATATGACATCAGTGCTGGTTGGTTCTAGGAAGCAGACTCGAAAGTGATTAATATAAGTTGCAAGAACTGGTTTCGCAATAGAGCTGAAACAAACTTGTTTAAACCAACATGATTTCCTATTTTTTTTTTCTGTCACATTTATTGATCAATTCCCATTTCATTCATTTTCTACAATAGGCACATTTTCCATTAATAATCAAATATTGATAAAACAATAGAAATGTATCATTTGGATATTCTTATTAAATGCTGTTTGAAATGTTAATTAGAAAATGTTGACAAAGTTCTGTGTGATTGGAATAATCGACGTATGTGATAAATAATCATATTTTGTTCTAAAACACCTTGTTATCTGCTATATAGATACATGTATATGTAATATCGGATTATATATCTCACACTTGCCAACATCTTCCATGTATAATTCTTACGTGGTATGTTGTTATGTCTAACACTTAATACTATCAACGTAATTATTTAGTATTGCAGACCTTTAATTATAGACCGATTCACTTTAAATGTAAGAATTTAGCGTTAATACATGCATGTTAGAATCGCTGTTTTTCAATAATAGATACTTGAGAGAGATGAAAAGAGGAAGACTGAAGAAAAACGTATTCTGGATGACTTGAGTTATCACGCCGGCTGGCGGGGCATTCAGGCAAAGATATGGTTGATTCTAAACGAACCTTATCACTCATATTACTCAAAAGTAAGATTTATAAGTTCTATTGTTCTTTTTTTACTTTCATATTGATGAGACATTATTACTTAGAATTATTCCTATTTTTTTGAAGAAGAAAAAGATGAACAAATCAATTAAAATAAAACTTACTGGATTTAGATGTAAATGCGCATGTATAGCTGACATAATAAATTAATATACTGATTTGTAAAAAGCAAATAATATTGTACAAGACAGTAGTAAACGTCTGTGTTAATAATTTTAATCATTCACTCATTTATTTGTGTTTTCCTTTCTCCAATTTTCAGATTTATTTCATTCTACATATGATTATCATCACAGTTTCCCTATTTGCGCTGGTAGCCGGAACACACCATACATTCCAGCGACCGCTTAATATTCATGAATGGAAACTTTATTTCGGCGAGGAATGGGACATATATAGTCACCATTTTTATGACACAAGCAATATAGATGCAGAAGCAGAGGAAGAATCAAGGTCTGATGCAGAAGTTGAATCATTACCAGAACCGG